AGTTTATCAGTGGAGTTGCTGATGTGGCTCACACAAGCAAAGCGGAACTGACTCTGAGGGTCAAGGATCGCCGTAGAGTGAGAATTTTTGATGAAACGTGAATTCATGAGGCTGAGCGGATGGACATATAAGGCTGTCAATTGTAATTTCGTGTCGGCGTGGGATTCTTGAATATTTTCTTTCAGTTCCAGCTTATAGAGTCGTGGCAGCTTGTTTACTGATCGTTTTTCAATACTGACTAATGCACTGAACGACCATGTTGGGCAGTGGTATACCTCATAAATCTCATCGTCGAGCGGCTGGATGATAAATTCGATAGAAAAGACAGCCGGAAGACGGTAACCCGCAAGAACATCCCAGGCCGCCACATGATTCAGTACAGTAGGTAATACCGCTGTAATTATTTGCGAGTTCGAGTTCAGGAACAAGCGTATCAGGCGTAATTTTTGCACACTTTGAGCCCTTGCATGAACCCATGAGTGGGCAGCGTTTGCTATGTTGTACCCTCGTCACTGTACTCTGCGTGTAAAAAAGAGTTTCTTTGTTGCACCGCGCCAGTATTTTTTCTAAGACGATTTTCATCTGACTGAATGTATGATTGTTAAACTTCGTTTGGAGGCAAACTTCAGGTTGGAGCGGATTGAGTTTCACTACGACGTTTTTCTCTTGAATGCATATTTTAGTGCTTCGATCGCATTGTATTACAGATGATTCCAAAACAATGGTTTGTTGACATTGTCTGGTTGCCGGTAAAATCGCACTTAGGAGTGAAACAAACCGCAAGTATCCTTATGATGGATGATGGTCGCCAACGATCTACTCGAGTATTCAGCTCTATGAGTGGCATTTCGGCCGCATCACTATGCGTTGAGCCTACTGTTAGCCGATAAAGCCGATAAACAGTGTACTTTAACAAGTTCATCATACACCCGCAGCCCTTCTTTGTGAGTTTCAGAGCCTTCCTTATGCAGAGGAAGGTTATTGCCACGGTCATTACAATGGCGTATAGCAGTATCGATGTGGCCATGATTGCTATGCGAGGCCAGCAGTGAGGGTTGGAAATCATTGTTGAACAAAAGGAGCATGCTATCTGCTCGCAGAAAGGACTCGGTTCGCAGCTGATCTGAACTGTGTTTGTTGCGTTCCCTTGCCTACTCTTTAATGTCACAATGTGATGATGGAGCACTACTTCCGCAGGAAATTGAACCGTAAAGTTAGTTTCAGGACCTACTATTTCCAAGCAATGGTCATTTCCGCAAATTTCTATTTTCTCTGTGGGTTCCAAGCCGATGACGTGTACTCCTCCTCGAACGCAATGCGCCGAGACGCCGGGATGGTGGGATGCGAGCGAGACGCCGAGAAAACAAAAAAATGTTGCTGCGGTCAGCCACGCATGCCAGGATAGAGGCGAAAGGAGAAGCGTGTGCTTTGAATTCTCTTTGTGAGACAAAACGACTTGAGCGTAGCGCACATTTTGTTTCGCTTTCCGAGGGAGCACTGGTCTCCTGTGCAATACATCGTCCACTACGGATTCCTCTTCATTTGGGGATGGCCGTTCATTCGCTGAATTATTAGCCGTTTCATTTTCTTCTTCATAGACTACGCGCTTGGTTTGTTGTGATAAGCCTTCTTCATCATCTAACTCGAGAGGAACGAGCATATTTATCGACCGATTAGTGGTATCTCGATGCACTGTGCGGAGCGTTGCTTCTCGCACCTCGCCGTCGGGGTCCCTCTTGAGTGCTGTTACAATTGCCAATGGCCATTGCCCTCGGTCCGTGTTTGTATCCATGATTAGCACTACTT